TTTGTATAGATGTTTGTATATATATGTGTATGTTTTTTATTTTGTATATATATTTATATTTTTATTTGCATATAGATATGAATATATATGTATATTTTTTTTGCTGTTTATTTATTTTATTTTAAATTTAAAAAAAAAAATCGATTTTTTTTTATATTTTTTCGGAATTTTTTTTTTAAAAAATATGACGTGGCATGCTGATGTGGCAAAAAATCTATGTGGCGTGCCACATCAGCCGCCACGTGGTGTGCCACGTCGGCGGTTAACGGATACTTAACACCGTTTTCGGATTGTGTAGGAAATTGCAGTTAAATTGGGTAGTTCGTGTATCAATTTGGCACATTTGATAATTTGGTGTAATTTTTTGTCAAATTAAAAATTCGTGTAGGAAAAGGTCACATTTTGCAAAGTTGATATTTGATAATGTCATTTTCCCTTATTATTATCTTTATATTTGTTTTGATTAATTAACATTCCATTAATTTGATAGTTCTTTATTCATCAACTTTTAAATCAAATTAAATTTAACTATAATTAGTTATTATTTGTTTCAAATTTTTTATATACGCACAAAAATGTGTGGTGCAGCTCTGCACATAACAGTAAAAAAAATTATATATTATACAAATTATATCACTACCCAAATACATTGATGATAATGGTTCAACACTCATACTTCACTAAAAATATGAATTATATACTAATTAAATTTTATTGCTTGATAAAAATTACTATTAACAAATCATCATCTTTATCTTTAGATAATGTTACTTAAAAAAATCTATAGCACGTCACCTACAATAAAATTCAACCAACCAAACGTTAATTCACAGTCAAAATTATAATTACAATATAAAGTAAATACAATCGAATATCCGCAGTAATAGAGAACAAGATATGATGAATATATGTTATAATTACTTATAAAGAAATATATTTTTCCCGTTTTGCAAATATACCACCAAACTGTTCCATGACAAAAATCCAATTACAAGTTTTAATTCTAGTCACTGTGTTGAAGCGTTGACCACAATTCAACGTTTTTAAGATGATAAAAAAGACAATTCTATTTTAATCCTTAAACGTTCTTCTAATACTAAAACAAACCTTAACTTTTTGGAAAATTCGATATTAAACCCTCATGTTTCTTTAAGTAATTTAAACCTCCTTTTAAGTGCACGTAAAATCTAATGACGTGGCAAATGAAAAAAATTTGATGTAAATTTAGAAGAAATAGAAAAAAATTAGGAGCGACAGGTTAAACCAAACTTTGATGTATCCAAATCTAAAATTAAAAACTCGATTCTTAACTTATAATTAGATAAAGATAGATATTTTAAATTCAAATATTAATGGATATTCGTAATATAAAAACGAGAATGATCCAACTTAGATAGTTCAACTAATAAAACCGGATGCAAAACATTTGTCACACCCAAGTTCGAACTCCAGGGTGCGAAGAGAGCGTATATTTCAAACTACATAACTGACTCCCGATCCCGAGATTAATCTGGATTTCGGTCCATAATACTCGGTCATAAAAAAACGAGAGCGATGGCCAAAATGAGATAAAAAAAATCACGAGGGTTACCAGAATAAAAGTAGAGGTTTTATTTGTAATATAAATTGTTACAGGGTTCATTTCGCAAATCTCCCAAAATAATGCGTTAAGTGTTGAAAAATATTTTTATTTTGTGCTTCTTCCTGGGAGCTGGTGGATTTCTTGACAAAACGACGTCTCGGAGATCGGAATTTTGGATCGTCTCTCTGCTTCCTGTTCCAATCCGATTTCAGAAAACTTTTGCTTAACCAAGAACTTCACTTTCAAGGTGAGTTTCTTCTTCAAGCAAAGCATGGTTCTAGGGTTTCTTTTGTCGGTTTTCTCCTCCCTTTTCTGCTTCTCTGTCTTGAAAAGCTGCTTTTGCTTCGAGTTTTCGCCATGGAAGATATGACCCACTTTGACTTTATCAAAGCATAAAGGGTTTTTCGCTGTTGTTTTCTTCACGATGCTGTTCTTAGGTTTCGGGGACCGAAAGCACAAATTTTGACTGTGATGGTTTCGGGTACTTCAATTTCGATGTGAATATTTCTTGAAGTTTATGGCGTTAAATTCTGCTGCCGAGAACAGATTTTCTGTTTCTAGTTGTTGTTGTTTTTTTTAGCTTGAATTTGAATCCTTATATTTTCACCAGTTGATGCGAGTAGAACCGTAGTCTTTGATACGGTGAATCTGTTACCTTTGTCCGGAAGCTGTGAATGGGGCTTGGAACTTAGACACTCAACTACCGAAGTCACCACACTGAGGTTGAAATTGAAGCAAGCTAGTTCGAATAAATCCATAAATTTATTCACGGTTCTATGTCTGAACTCCTAACTGAGGCACTTTCAATCATGGTAGATACTTCACTTCGGCTGAGTTAAGGTCCGAGTTAGGGTCTGAATTCAAGAGTTTTTCCAAATCTTGGATTGCTGTTTAGTTGAAGGCTCCGTGGTTGAAATCTTTTCAATATTGAAGGATGTGAATTTACCTATGCTCCGTTCGAGAAACTGATGTATCTTCTTATTCTTCCCTGGATGTTGGGGTTTAGCTTCTTGTTTGTGTGTGTTCAGGCTTTTGAGTTAGTTTAGCCGGTTATTTGAGAATCATGAGTAGTACACCAGTTTGCCTGGCCGAGACCTTTATTTCGTTTTTGGCGGTTTTCCTATTTTTATGCATCCATCCAGTAGTTTTCCTAGTCTTTCATGTGTTATCCACATTAACTGAAATTTACATGTGATTTGTTTGCTCTTCTGGGTGTCCAGGTGTTAGGATAGAGTCTTCATATCCGGGGTTGAAGAGGAAAAGGCTTTTGGTTGTGAATCCCGGGCTTTGATCCTTTGTTTCCAAATTGCAATGAGCTGTTAGCATCTTATGTGTGGAATGGCATGGACTCAGCCATTGCTCTGAATTTCTAATATTTCTTTCGTTTAGCACAAGCACCGGCCCACGGGATTCTCCTGATCAATTTATATTGGTTGTTCTACTAAGGTGCTTAGCCTCTCTCCTGTGTTCATCTTCATATTCTTTTGTGTATTCTCTAGCTAATTTTTTTCTATCCAACTCTTGACAGTCCGTACACCATCTTGACTAAATCCATACACAGACCTTTCGAAACTTCAGGAGGTGCCATTACAAAAAGGGGGCACAATTGGATCGTGACTCGTTATCTTAGTATTAGTGTAGGAGGGTGGTGAGAAAGTAATATGGCTGATACCAGTCCAAGGACCTCTGTCTCAACGGATGCTGATACGGATCATAGAGATCAAAGGGTTAGCTCATGATCTTGCTTCGCCCATTTGCTTGTTCCTCATTAAATGGTCAGAATTTGACATGACTAGTTCTGTGTTGATTTCGTGCAGTTTGAGGGAGGGCAACTGGGTATAGTTGCTTCTGATTCCAGTGACCGGTCAAAGGATAAGTTGGACCAGAAGGTGATATGTTTATTACTCTGGATCAATAATTTGTTCACTATATTGAGCTGCGAATATATAAATTTTTCTTTTTCGTTTTTGGTTTTTATTATGATATCCACAGACCCTTCGTAGGCTTGCTCAAAACCGTGAGGCAGCAAGGAAAAGCAGATTGAGGAAGAAAGTGTGTATTCCATTTATCTGTTTCTCTCTCTTCAGAGTATCTCTCTAGAAGTGCGTTGGTTGCTTAAGCCTGTCATTGCTTCCCATATAGGCATATGTTCAGCAGCTGGAGAATAGCCGATTGAAGCTGACACAACTCGAGCAGGAGTTGCAAAGGGCAAGGCAGCAGGTTTGAATTTGTTTTTTTAATATATATATTATCTGTTGAATCTTTGTTGTGTTTGAATTTAGGTCTGTTTGTGTCTATTTACCTTCTACTTACCCATAATTTAAATCTCTCAATTTTAGGGAATCTTCATCTCAAGCTCAGGAGACCAAGCCCATTCTACTGGTGGAAATGGTGGGTGGTTTTCTTATGCATTCTAGTCCTTGTGAGACAAGTTTTCGGATTTTTAGTTCAACCGAAGAAGAAGAAAGTGGCGCATAGAGAGTTTAACTGCAATTGATATAATGTAGATTTGATGAATTGTTGGCTTCATTGATCATCCACGGAATTGTGGTTTGGTAGAGTTCTGGTAATATTAAGACTCAATGATGATCAAAATATGGAATGGTGGTGTAGATTTGGGTTTAAACTGAAAAATCGCTCGGGCTTTTGTCTTTTTCAGGGGGAAATGCTCAGTTTTGCTTTCTCTTTCTGCAGGGGCTATGGCATTTGATGTAGAATATTCACGGTGGCAAGAAGACAAAAACAGACAAATGAATGAGCTAAGGTCCGCTATCAATGCTCATGCCAGTGATGCAGAGCTCCGAATAATCGTCGACGGAGTGATGGCTCACTACGAGGAGCTTTTCAGGATAAAGAGCAACGCGGCTAAGAACGACGTCTTCCATTTACTATCGGGAATGTGGAAACCCCCCGCCGAGAGATGTTTCTTGTGGCTCGGCGGCTTTCGTTCATCCGAGCTTCTCAAGGTGAGTGTTTTCACCTTACAACCTCAATTTTATCTTTCTTGGACAGTGTATTGTAATACAAATATGTTTTGTTCAAAGAGCAGTTTTTGACGAAAAAAGTCCAAATATGATGATCATAATTTACAAACAGCTTGTGGCGACTCAGTTGGAGCCATTGACAGAACAACAGTCAATAGGCATAATTAACTTGCAGCAGTCATCTCATCAGGCGGAAGACGCGTTGTCTCAAGGGATGGAAGCCCTACAACAGTCTTTGGCCGAGACTTTGTCAAACGGAACTCTTGGTTCTTCAGGTTCATCGGGGAACGTCGCAAATTACATGGGCCAGATGGCTATGGCAATGGGGAAGTTAGGAACCCTCGAAGGATTTATCCGTCAGGTACGTTTGGATATTCCTTTTTCATTTCCCGTCACATGAATGGCATCTTCTCCTGGAAATCCTTGCTATTCTAATCATGATATTGGGGTATGCTTGCATATTCGTCCATAGGTCAAATCGGATATGTAGATATTGGAATAATTGTTGGAGACTCCTCATTCTTTGCCTTTGCGTTTTTTTTGGATATACATCATGAGGAACTCGATATCCTTCAAAGCTTTCTGCGTCTATGGAGTTCATGGGGGGCATTTTCTCGGGGTTATTTTTTTGTTGCAGGCTGACAATTTGCGGCTACAAACGCTGCAACAGATGCTGAGAATATTAACGACCCGTCAGTCAGCCCGTGCTCTGCTTGCAATACACGAATATTCCTCGCGTTTACGTGCTCTTAGCTCGTTATGGCTCGCCCGACCACGAGACTCAGCCTGACAAGACTTCTTTTGTGTTAGTTCTACACAAAACCAAATCACAAAGCCCTTGAGTTGAGTCTCCAGCTTTGAATCTCAGCTTATTATTGGGTGGAGATGGTGGAGAGACACAGAAAGAGGAGAAGAAACGCGATGACTGCCTGATGTGTGTTTATATATCTTTTGATTATTGAAACTAATAATCATCATTTGTAATGTTTGTTTACACCAGAAGCTGTTGTTGTAAACACAACTTTTGTCACATATCAATCTTAGGGGAGTTGGCTCTAAAGTTTTAACCTTTTTGCATTTGCAAACTGATTTATTACAACCTTGTATTATAATCCAAATTGTAACAGGCTAAAAATGGATTTATTACAAACCCGAAATCGTATATACCTAATTGGAATGTGGATCAATGTTTCGCCGAAACGTACGTATATACGTTAAAGGATACGCCCATTGAACGTACAGAAACACTTCTTTCACCCGATGCGTGTAGTAGAACAGAAACATCATATGACGAGACAGTATACAGACAACTACACATCAAGCAAGAACGTGCAAGTGCAATCACACCATTTCGGGTTAGGACATATCAAAGATGATGTACCTCTTTTAACGGTCTGAATCTGTTGTTATTGCGAGGGAAGCAACTCCATTCTTCTTCTTCTTCTTCATCGCTGTTGTATCCGTTCCTTCGTGGCTTGGACGAGTGAATTCTCCCGCTGAATTCTGTCGTCGTTTCTGTCAGATGGGACGCAGATGGGGGAGTATACAAAACTGGTGCGGCTCGTCGGGGAAATCCTATGGTTGGATTTCCATAAGATCTTCCCTCGAGGATGCTCTGGATATTAGAATAAAGAACGTGAGATTTCGGTGAGGTTTCTCCCTCGTCGTGGTTGTATAAGGACTTGAAACAAGGCCAATACCTGAGCATTAAGTTCTTCTAGTACAGTTCCGGGGACAGGGTCTGGGCAAAATTCGTCGGGAGTGAAGTTGCATAGTATCCGTTTTACCAAACTCAGGCCAATCGACGGGCACACCTAAAAGACGAAGACCCGTGTGTGAGATCGGTAAACCAAGTTACTGAAACAACATCGAAGAGTGTCGGAACATGACATGAAGATGAAACAATGGGACAAACCTCTTCCCTGGTGGAATGGTCAGTGAGCGTATCTTTAGGAATCATTAGGAGATCGCTCAGTTCGTTGAGCAGCTTGAAGGGTTTGAACGCGCTGTTATGATGCTCGGCTTCGGGAGAATCATCGGAGCCGATGTCGTAAATATCCAGGAGTGACCTCGACCAATAGCCAACCTGAGTTGTATCACCACGAGACAGTGAGTACACTGATGTTTTGTCTCTTGAGTTTGGATGAAACAACAGTTTCGTGAATGTCTTGTAAGGATTATGAGCATTACTGCGTTTTTCAGCTTTACACCAGATTCAAAGCTCAGAACCCCGGCTGTAATTGGCAGAAGCCTCGGGTCGCCGATGGGATCCGAGACAGCATCGGTTGGAATCTGATGAGCGGACTCACGAAGAATAGCATTGAACATCGCTATGTCAAGTCTTGCAATACATTTCTCCATGACCTAATTAAACCCGATAGTTCTTTAGGCCGATCTGAAAGAATGAGAAAGCGCAGCCAAGAGATTGATCTTGGATGAACAAGGAAATAGGCATACCATTTTCGTCAAGACAGGTAAACAACCGCAATTTCCTTGTCCTGTTTGGACAGGACAAAGCCGATGAAGAGCCTCCTCGAAAGAATTTTCCCATAAGGTAACACAATCGCTGAATTTTGCTGATCTGATCCGCTTACCGACCGATGTATCTTCCCCTCGCGGTTTCAAATGGGTCATCAGAACCTAACAGAGGAAGAGTGAGAATCCAAATTCATGTTGCATTCATGGAGAAATGTGAACATATATAATACCTCGGCCTTCGGATTTTACCTGCGACCATATGGACTCGACGGCCCGGGTGAATACCAAAGTTTCAAGCTTTCTTATTTCCGCTAACAGAGTTCTAACATCCTTCCAGTCCTCTTCAACTGGTTTTGATCCGTTTACATTCTCGCCACCAAATTCCCGTGTGATGAACTCTCGAAACACGACAATGTTGGACAACCAGAAAGTTAACCTGAGGCAAAAACCGACAAGAAAAGCAGAACACAACCAGTTTCCGTCAGATGATATGCAAACATACTAGAAATACTGACATTCATTACGAAATTAAGACTACCTCGGTACATCAGTTCCGCAGGACTTGGAAACCAAGAAGAGACCGGACATGATGTTTTTGGATACTGCGACCAACTTGCTTTCTGATTGACTCTTTCGAGCAATCGTATAGAGTCTGGATAGATCTCGGGCAGGTTTGTACAACTTGTCTGAAGAGATCCCATGTTCCGGGGAGACAGAATAGAGCGAAATCTCCAGAGAAGCCACATCTCTCAGCTCCTCTTCAAGCTCCTCCATTCTTGCCTCTAGGGTTCCGATCTTCTGGATCAATACTTCTTCGGCCTCACTCTTTTTACTTTCCTTCACCGCAACTGATTCATTGTCGCTTTCGGCGGTATGAGTATCATTCTCAGCATCTTCCCATACGTCATCTTCTTTGTCCTCCTCGAAAGGCTTGTGATCGATCTCTTTAGAATATCGCTGTTGAGGAGATTCAGCGGAAGATTTCTCATATTCAGTGCTGATTCTGTGGGAAGTGAAATCGGTTGTAACCTTTGCTTGGCCTTTGCTGAGCTTTGTGGACATCCTAGGAGTAATGCCATGAAAGGTGTTTGGTCTTGATCTGATACTTTCTGCGTCGGTCCGCCCCTTGGACGTTACGGGCCTGTCTTGAGAGCTTCTGCTCTTGGAAACTATCCATGGCTGCCTGTTCGGTCTCTTATCTTCAGCAGATGATACCGAATCTTTGCTCGATCCGTCGTCATTTCCATCTTCAGAATCCTCCAGATTCGCATCACTCTTACCATTCATCTTCTTCTCGTTAGTGTCTTCGACAGAGCTCCTTGCATCGTCCATGTAATGCACATTCACGGTGTCATAGATTTCAGACGACTCGGACGTCGAGTCGTTAGCCGCCGAGACAGAAGGTTCAGTTGTTGTCGCGTCCAACACTTTGGACACCAGTTGTGCCGCGTTCAGAGGTTTCGAGCCGTTCGCCTTACGAGGGGTTTGATCTTTCCTCCCGAAATTCGCGGGTCTTCTCGTTTGCGAACCACTGGAAGATGATCTCGGCCTTTCGAACTTCTTCATTACAGAAAAGATCTTTTCAAGACAGCTTCAAAGACGAAATCTTGACAACAAAAGTGTCGGAATGTGAATGTGTCTATATCCTGTTGCAGAAACGGTGAACACTGAACACAAGATCCTCAAGCTTTTGCGACCGTAACTTAGGACCCAAGAAACTCTGCAGCAAAAATGAAAGTACAAATAACAAAAGCTTCAAGAGAAGGGATCCACAAAAACGATATTCGCTATTATATTGATCACCAATATAAGATTAAATGTTCGATATTATAATGTTCATTCATATAATGAAGAACAGAAGAAACAAAGCGACAAACTATCCGCGTATTTATTTTAATTCTTTATTTAAATATTTTTATAAATACGCCACCGACTGGTACATTGCACCACATGGACGATACCGTTCCACATTATACAAAAAAAAATAATAATTAGTGAATTTAAATCAAGGTGGTGAGAGAAATAAAATGCTAAAGTTTATTAAAAGAAATTTTCATAGCGGCCGGACATGACACGTGGCATGAGTGTAATGCGTAATCATATGATGTATAACATGTTGCACGTCTCGCATCACGTTCAGTTCACCGAACGACACGGACATAAATCTCGAGTGTGTTCTCACTTCTATCAGACACGGAAACATACAACTGGCAATAATAATAATAATAATAATAATTAAATAAATAAATTTTGTTTGAAGGAAAGAGACATTACAACATCGAAAAGTTTGTTGGCTTTGTCGCAAATTAGACCTTTCATTTTCTGATATTTAAACTCAAATTGGTAGCAGATATATCCAATGATTTTCATGGAATATTGTATATTTGATTTTTTTTCCATCACTAGATTTTGTCATCTTAGTCCTTCAATCTAGAAAGACATGTGAATTTCGATTTAATTATTTTCAGATTTAATTTTTGTTTTTTGAAAAATTATATCTTTTACTTTTTTTATATACAGTTTTTAAAAAATATCTCTAAAAGTTTTTATTTTTATTTTTAATATTATCATAATTATTTTTCATATTGATTTGAATTCTATTAAACTAATTTGAAAATGCATTCAATAAGATCAAATTATCAGTCTTTTAAAATCTTCTATCAATGAAAAATAATTTGAGATAAAAATATTTTAGATTGAATCAACTTAGCTTACGCAGCATATGGACAGCCAGTTTAATAAACCAAATCTATCTACCGACAAAACCCTAATCTTAAAATTATCCTAACACATCACCGCATTGCAATTTGAATGACAAGTTCCATAATTTCTGTATAATTATCTATTCCCAAACCCAGCTCTGTAATAATATCATCATCATCATCAATTTCAAATTCCATTCATTTTTTGGCGCTGAATCACTCCCAAAAATTCAAATCAGAACAGACAAAAAAAAAATCTCCGTTTGGTGATCAGAGCGGCAGAGGAAATGGAAAAGCTCGGTATCAAATCGTGGAATCACTCTCCCAATATCAAAATCCAGAAACCTGGAACCGATGAGATTGAAAACTGACCTGGAGCTTGAAAATGCGGCGAAGACCGGCAAAAATCCAAACCGCAGTTGTCTGAATCTGAAGAAGAGCAAGAGAGATACGAGGATTTTCTCTTCTCTAGGGATTTTGTCGAAGAGATCGCTCTCTCTCTCTCCTCTTTCTCTCTCTAGATCATGGGATATTATTCAAATGAAGAAGATCGTCGAGTGCCGGAAGATTTCCGTTGATATAGGCTACTTCTCGACGACTAAGAAGAAAACCCCTTCTCTCTTTTTTTTTTATATATATAAAATTATAAATTGCAATTAAATTAATTAATGTATATTATCCGACGCATTAATGGTAATTAGATTTTATTTATAGTCTATTTGACAAATATGGTAAATTTTGTATGTAAATGATACAGTGACAAGTTTTAATATGCCTATTTAGCGTATATTTTATTCTTAATTCTATATATAAATACAAATGTAATGTGAATTTATCAAGAAACTAAATAGTACAGTGATGTATTGGTGGTTATGGTTAGTTTAAAGGTTCCATCTTCACAACTGATGACGGACACAACGTCTTCATCTTCGTTCCAACCTTTTACCATGGAATCGGTCTGAATTTTATTAAGATTCAATTTAATCCGAATTGAAATAGAAATAATAAATTGTTATGAATTTTGATTTGACTAACCCGTATTCATAGAAATCAAACCCAAAACGTTCATCCCCCTTATTTTATTTATTTATTTATTGCTAATTTTGATTCGATTTCTGGTCACATTTTTTATTTAACTATATTTGATTGGGTTTATAAGATGGGTAAATCCACCTAATTAACCAAATTTAACCTTTTTTATTCTTATTTTATTGATTATCATACTGAATAGGAAAGAATTGATCCATAATCCGGAAAAAAAAAAAGAGTATGAACGGAAAAAAAATGATTTATTTCTATTGGTTTCATGCATTAAAAGCTAATACAAAAAAAAATGATTATGGTGATTTAGGGTTTATTACAAAAGATGGATTTAAGTTTTTTTTTTAAATTATTTCGAAAGCACCGTCGCAGAAAAAAATCCGCCATCAAATCCATCATCAGAAGGGTCTCTCTCTCTCTCTTTCTTCTTCGGCAATGGAGAGATACGTCGAGAAGCTTCTGAACAGGGTATCAATGGCGGTCATAATCATAGGAACATCGATGATGGCGGTTATAAACCTTCAGACACCAAAGACATGCGTCCCGCCAAATTCTCCATTGAAGCCCCACACCCACTTCCCCAGATCCACCTGCGATTCATCTCCCTCTCCACAAGAAGAAGAACTCCCGTCTCTGGTCCTCTAGGGCTTGGCAATCGCGCCTCTACTCCTTCTTCCGCCATTTTCATCACCTGGGTTTCCTCCAAAACCGCTCCAAAGCCGGACACGCCGCCATGGCCTTGACCCATCTCGGCCTCGCCGACTCACCGCCGTCGAATTGGTCGATTCTCCGCCTCTCGTCAACAGAGCCGATCCTCACAACCTCCCTTTCTTCGACGGCGTCTTCGACTTCGCCTTCGCCGGTCACCTCGCCGAGCTCTGTTTCCGCGGCGGAGATGGAGCGACGGTGCGTGGCGCCGGCGGATGAGTGCGACGGCGACAACGTAGGGACATTGCCGGGTTGTTTGGGTCCTAACTAAAAATATTTTTTTTCTCATTTTTAAATATCAGATTTATCTCGATTCATCGTTCATGTTTCTGATTCATTTCATACCTTGTTTGAATTACAAATGATCTTTGTAAATATATTCTTAATTAGAATTAAAATGAATAAAATTATTTTTTGGAAATATTTGGTAAAGACGAATGTATATTTAGATTTATAATAATTGGACTTGCAGTTTTTTTTTTAATTTATAAAGTTTAGTTGTTTGAAGTTGTTGGCTTTTTATTCTGCAAAATGAACGGTTGCGATCAAATATGTCACGTAAAAATTTCGTGTTCTTGCAACAGAGGATCTCTTCTTCTCAGGAAGCGGTTAATGGGGCCCGCATTGGCCGTTGATCCTTTTCTGAGTGTCTCCCTCTCTCTCGTATCTCACCAATCTCTCTCGTCTTCGTTCCTTGAAACCCTAACCCTAACCTCTCCCATTCCCAGAATTTTCCCCTTCTTCGATCATCAACGACCCTTCACGAATCGTAGGATCCAGGTGAATCGTTGTTTTGGTTTCTCGTACATGATCGATTTCAATGATTCTGTGTCAGAACTTCCGAAATTCTTCGCGTGGATCTTTTTGAGAGGAGCTTTCGATCCTGGAGATTTCGGATCTGGCTGTTTTATTTCGTTGTTGGAGGGTTTGTGAAAAATGTCAAATTTGTATGGGGATTACAACCAAAAGATCGATTACGTGTTCAAGGTCGTGTTGATCGGTGATTCAGCGGTCGGGAAAACCCAGCTGCTCGCACGGTTCGCGAGAAACGAGTTTAGCGTTGACTCGAAAGCCACCATTGGGGTCGAGTTCCAGACTAAAACGCTCGTCATCGATAATAAGACCGTTAAAGCTCAGATTTGGGACACGGCAGGGCAAGAAAGGTTTGGTTTTTAACCCTTTTACTGCCTTTTCGGAGATTAAATTATGCGCTAGAACAACACGCAAATCGTTTCTCTCTCTCAATATTAGCGTAAAAGTGGAAATGGGTATCGATCGATCCATTGGGATATATCTGATTGCTGAAGTGAGTGTCCACATTGTCTAGAAGATGATGTTACAACAAAAGCAGTTTTGATCTGTGAACTTTGTTCGTTTAGTGTGTATATGCCTGCAGAGATGTCAGTTATATTAGGGAACGAATAATCGAAGATGAGGAGATAGAGAAGAAGTTGGATTCTTTTGAATGTTTATTGATTACTATGGGAATGTTAGGATTTGGAGGAGCATATATATATATATATGGTTTATTCAGTGCAAGACATAGCATATCTGGAAAGGGTATGGGCTGGTTTTTCGACTCATTGTTCGGATGCTTCTGTTTTTCGATTCATTGTTCTGTCACCGAAGTATGTCTGCGTTTCCAAATCTTTGAGTATTTAGTTTTCTCCTACTCATGAAAAGTTCAATTTGTACGAAAACTGGAAAGTCTATATATTATCCAGTAAATGCCATATCTGCGCGACTTTTCTTAGATTCGCTTGAATCCAGCTCTTTCTTCTGGTCTAATCATGCCATAACGGGTTGAATTTCATTGTCAATCTCTTAAGGCCGCTTCTGTTATGCTCGCGGATTGTTGCGTTGCTCACCTTTGTTCACTTTTTTTACTGCTTATCATGCCGAATGAGTCTTTGAACTCATAAGAATGAATTCAGTTTCATTTACTTGTATATAATGTGAAATGATTAGCATATTCGACCTTACCACAACCTTCAAATGGTTATGTTCTTTGGCTACTGTTCAGATACCGGGCAGTGACAAGTGCTTACTACCGTGGAGCAGTTGGGGCGATGCTAGTTTACGACATGACAAAGAGACAATCCTTTGATCACATGGCAAAGTGGCTTGAAGAACTAAGGGGACACGCCGACAAAAACATAGTGATTATGCTAATAGGAAACAAGTGTGATCTGGGAAGCCTAAGAGCGGTCCCGACCGAAGATGCACAAGAGTTTGCTCAAAGAGAGAACTTATTCTTCATGGAGACGTCCGCCCTCGAGGCCACCAACGTTGAAACCGCCTTTCTTACCATCCTTACGGAAATATACCGTATTATCAGCAAGAAACCTCTAACTGCGGGCGATGATGAAGCTGGTGGAAATTCAAGTCTCTTGAAAGGGACTCGGATTATCGTCCCGGGCGAAAAGGCGACGGAAAAACGAGGCGGCTGCTGCGGCGGCAGATCGTAATTCTATTTGACAGGAAAAAAAAGTTTTTCTACTGTATTTTTCGTGAGGCTTTTTTTCTGTTCATCATTCTCTGAAATTCACTCTTGTTAATGAGAAAAACAAAGATAACGAAGCAACGAGAATATGAAATATATATATATATATATTCTGTTTAGATTAAGAGGAAAAGGTCCACCAAAAGGTGGAAAATGTTGTTACAAAGTCTCTATCACTCGAGAATCCTGACCTCTTAGATCCTACAGTGAAACAAGACAAAAAAACAGAGCATTTACATATACACTGCTTATACAATATGATCCTATCATTAGCATCATGTACATACATATGTATATATATGTGTATATATATATATCATACAACAGTTATCTCATAAACCAATCTTTTGTTTACCTATATAGCTATACGACCCCAACGCAAGATTTTTCTAAAACCGTCACCATACAGACATTTTCGACCATGGATTTGGATCTGTTACCATACCTGCACCTCTTCCTCATTTGCATAGTCTCTCTTCTTCTTCTCCATTACCTCTTGAGCTCCTTTTCCATCACTCGTCGTCCACCGGGACCTCGTGGACTGCCAATTCTCGGACATATGCATCTTCTCCGCTCAGCCCTTCCACGTTCCTTACAAGCCTTAGCCTCTAAATACGGCCCTCTCATGAGCATACGTATCGGCTCGTTACAAGTCATCGTCGTCTCGGATTCAGACACGGCCAGACTCATTCTCAAGACCCACGACTCGGATTTCGCCTCCAAGTTCGTGTTCGGTCCGAGGCAGTTCAACGTGTACAAAGGAGCTGAGTTCTTCAGTGCCCCTTACGGACCCTTCTGGAGGTTCATGAAGAAGCTTTGCATGACGAAACTGTTCGCCGGATATCAGCTCGTTCGGTTTAAACATATACGAGAGGAAGAGACGTTATCTCTTCTGAAATCTCTCGTCGAGAGATCGAGAAACGGAGAGGCTTGCGATCTGAGTATGGAGTTCACGGCCTTGACCACAAAGATCCTGTGCAAGATGGTTATGGGGAAGAGATGCCAGGAAAACCCTAATCTTCCCGCTGAAATCAGGAAGTCAGTCCGGAATATAATGGCTTGCGCTACGAAGTTCGGAGTCATGGAGTTGTTCGGACCGTTGAAGGATCTGGATGTGTTTGGTAACGGAACGAGGCTTAGATCCTCAATTTGGCAGTATGATGAACTTGTGGAGAGGATACTGAAGGAATATGAAGATGCCATGAACAATCCGAACGCTCGGGAAGGAGAGAACGATAAAGATATCATCGATATCTTGCTAGAGACGTACAATGATCCCGACGCTGAACTCAAATTGACGAGGAATCAGATCAAGTTCTTCGTCCTTGTAAGTGATCCATCCATCTCCAGCTCATATTTTTCCACTTCGACTCTGCAGCTTCAATGCCTTAATTCCAGTCGATTGTTTCTGCAACTTGGCAGGAATTACTCATGGCGAGCCTCGACACGACTTCAGCGGCCTTGCAATGGACTATGACAGAGCTCATAAACCATCCTGATATCCTCGAGAAGCTAAGAAACACGATCAATGAAACTATTGGACCGACCCCTCGGGTAATCAGAGAATCGGATGTGCAGAAGCTCCCTTACCTGCAAGCAGCTGTCAAGGAAACACTCAGGCTTCACCCCGTGGGACCGTTACTCCGTAGACAAAGCAACAGAGACATGGAGATAAAAGGGTACACCGTGAAATCTGGGACCAAGTTCTTCATCAACGCTTACGCTATCATGCGCGATCCAGCCAAGTACGAGGAACCCGACAAGTTTTTGCCTGAAAGGTTTCTAGTTGTGGAAAAAACACACAAGAAGATGGGTCCTTATCAGCAATATCTGTTGGAACTTAAAGGGCAGGATGTGAATTACCTAGCATTCGGGAGCGGAAGGAGAGGATGTCTAGGAGCGGAACACGCTTCCTTGGTGCTGAGCCTCACGATCGGATCGCTGGTTCAGTGCTTCAACTGGAGATTGAAAGGTGATGAAGATGAAGTCAACATCAAATTGCCTTCCGGGTTTTCGGCTTCGGGAATTGCTGGACAGAGTTCTCTTGTCTGCTCTCCTGCATTGTCTTTTGATCCATTCAAAGACGAAAACTGAAGCTCCTTCTGCAGAGAATAACAGACCGCAACCGAGGACTTTACAGCAAGAACTTGCCTCTGAATTCTGCATCTTAGGAATAAATGGAAATATTACATAAATTTCATAAAGCACCACAAAATAAGGTGTTTTCATTTTAGCAAACAAAATCCCAAGTTACAGGATCAGTTTCTTGTCTTGAACTCTGCTTCTCATGTATATTGTGGCTTAGAGCAGGAACACAAGGATGAATGCAGAGATTATATACAAAACCGAATCTTGTTTAGTTCTATCTGCAAAACGCTTCTAATTCACGGATAAACAAACGCTTTCAGCGATATCCCTACACCGTATACCAAAAACAGTTACCGCCGATATCTCTACAAAGCTCAAATATGATGGAATGGAACCACAACAAAAGCATATTGCAGATATTCTTGATTCCTCGCCTTCGTAAGAGACGAGTTCAGTTCAGTTTCGAACAATTGAATCAGTGACGCACAAACGCTAATACCCCAACTCAATAAGCAATCTCTTGCCGATGCTCGGCACTTCGAAAAGAATCCATGCCAGGAAATCAAGAGTATACAAATGCAACACCTAAATCAGACCACAAGGCCAAGACAAAATGTGATGTGAGATTTAATCATACCATACCATGTCAAATGTAAGGATTTAGCTGATCAGAATCGTTAGTACATATCGATTTCTCGTGGTTTTTTGCATTTTACGTGTATATGAATCGATTTATTGCGGGGGTTTAAGCATATTACATGTAACTTCTGATACTGGTGTTTAGACAATAACAGCTTAACAACCAAAGTGTGTTAGGTGCAGTGAAGTTTTATAATGTTGAATCCTATTCAATGAGTCAGAAAAAAAAAACACTTGTACCTCTTGGAATCTATCAAAACAGATAGAAACAAGAGATGATGATGTAAGAAGAGAATCAATCGAGTGATTATACCTTTGCAAAAGAGACAAGAACAGAGACAAATCATAGAAAATAAACGGCATCTAACATAATAATTTGTTCGTATAAAACCTTAACCCATTCATATAATCTCCAACAAACCCTTATGATGATTGATCTGCAATACTACTTTATACCTTTCTTACTATGGCTTGGACTCACAGTATTATTTCAAGCCATCACCAGCAAATTCCGAAACAAGCGGCCGCTTCCACCGAGCCCACCGGCTTTACCAATCATCGGTCACATGCACCTCCTTGGTCCTATAGCTCACCAATCACTTCATAAACTTGCCACCCGATATGGACCCTTGATTTATCTCTTCATCGGGTCGATTCCTAACCTCATTGTTTCAACACTCGATATGGGAAAAGAGGTCCTCAAGGACAATGAGTTCAACTTCTTGAACCGACCAACAATGGCTAACGTTGATTACCTAACATACGGCTCTGCTGATTTCTTCTCGGCGCCTTATGGGAGTCACTGGAGATTCATGAAGAAAATATGCATGATGGAACTCTTCAGCAACCAGACGCTGGAGAGCTTTGTTCCCTTAAGAAGGGAAGATTTAAGGAAGTTTTTGATGTTTCTACTGAAGAAAGCAGAAGAAGGTGAGAGTGTTAATCTAGGGAACAGACTAAAGATACTGACAAACAACGTGGTGACGAGAATGATGTTCAGAGGGAGGCATCCGAATAGGGAAAGCGAAAGAGAGGAAGTGGTCAAAGTGGTGACTGAGTTGAACGAGTTAGCCGGGTTTCTCAACTTGTCTGAAACGTTTTGGTTCCTGAAAAAGCTCGACATACAAGGACTAAGGAAGAGGCTTAAAGAAGCTCGTGACAAGTACGATGCAATAATAGAGAGAATAATGGAAGAGCACGAAGACGCTAGGAGGAAGATAAAGGAAACGGGCAGTGGAAGCGATGCAGGGGTGAAGAACATGCTTGACATCTTACTAGATGTATACGAAGACGAGCATGCAGAGATGAAGCTGACAAGAGAAAACATAAAGGGTCTAATCATGGTAACTTCTGTAAAGTCACACATTTTTTAACATAATGAGAAGTAACCTACCGACGAAACATAAAGATTAAAGAGTCTCACCATTCATGTATTGTTTGGCAGAACATATACGGCGGGGGAACAGACACATCAGCCAACACCGTAGAGTGGGCGATAGCCGAACTGATCAACCACCCCGAGATCATGAAGAAAGCACAACGAGAGGTCGATGAAGTTGTGGGAAAAAACAGAGTAGTAGAGGAAAAAGATGTGTGTAAACTCACATACCTTCAAGCCATCGTAAAAGAAACTCTAAGGCTGCACCCGGGAGGCATATTCGTTAGAGAAGCCGCTGAAGAATGCGTTGTGGCTGGACATAGAATACCTGCAAGAACAAGAATCATAGTTAACTTGTGGGCTATAGGAAGAGACCCGAACCAATGGGAAGATCCCTTTGAGTTTAAGCCCGAGAGGTTTCATGGGACGGAATGGAACGTTTTGGGCGACAAGACGATGATGTTTGGGAGCGGGAGAAGAAGCTGTCCTGGCGAAAAGATGGCCCTACGCTTCGTTCCCACCGTTCTTGCTGCACTGATTCAGTGTTTCGAGCTGGGAGTGGACGGGGCTGTTAACATGGAAGAAGGGCCTGGATTCACTATCCCTAGAGCCAAACCTCTCGTGTGTGTTCCCATGGCCAGGCTTCAACCATTTCCACACGAAAACTAAGGCCAGTTCTTGTAATTAAAAGGGTTTTATGTATCATGATTTCTGTCTTCTCAGACCAAAACCTTAAGCTGTATCAATGCATATATTCTTCTGGTCTAAGGGTTGGAATTTAATGCAAATCGAAATCAGATCCTCGAGCCTATTTACCAGAGTGCTAACCAGAAAACCCTAAATCCATCAGCAACAATGGCGACAAGGTACGGTCAATCTAAACAAACTCACCGGTTGCGTGGATAAAATGAACGAGGATGGCCGGAAGCCTCTCCTTGTATCCGAGAGATCTCGGCAAGAACCCTAATCTGTTCAATCGAAAACCCTAATATTTCAAACAAATCGTTCATGAGACTGAACAAACTATGGTTCCCGAGGAGAAACTTCCCGACATCTGGTCCATGTTACCGACGTAATCGGTGAATTTGTTGTTGAGGGAAATATAGGACATTGACCGTACTTTGACGCCATCGTTGCTGAAGATTGTGGATTTTCCAGTTGGGTCGAAGCCCTAGAAGACGAACGAGACCAAATGCTACATGATCTCATCAGCGCCGTCAGATGAGAGATTCCGCACCGGAAGACTTGAAATCTTCGACATTTTGGGTAATGATTTCGTCCCGAAAAAAACACGAGACCAACAACAGAACAAAATTCAAGCCAAACTCGGGCAAGATCAAGAACAAGTAGATAAACAGGAACAGAACAAAGTGGCCAACAGCGAGAATCATTGCAAAGAGGGAGATGAACTGAGTTCGGATTTGATATATAATATATATGTGTGTGTATATTGGGTTCTTGTATTCTTAAGGTTTTGTTGCACAGGCCCAATATTGGCCCAATATTGGCCCAAGATTTTATACATTTCCAACGGCAATGACGGAGGTATTTCATGTATAAAAAAAACTTTATTCATGTATTAGTTTTATATTTTATTTAATTAATGCAATTTTGCATTATTTTTTATTCATTGTTGCATTAATTAGACCATATTGAATTTTTTGGTAATAGACCATATATTATATTTCATTCCAATTTTTTATATTCAAATCTCCATATGGATTCTCTTCTTCATTGAAACAATACTTAATTTAGGAACAGTTTTCGATCCATTTTCTCAACTATTTGTATATTCGATCCAATTTACGGTTTAATATGTTAAAATCGGTCAACCCCGATGGATAATTAGATCATTTATCGTGAATATTAAATAACCGGAAAAAAAAAAAACTAGCGTATGATCTTCCGTTATCTCATTTATTTAACTAAATCATTTCTTCTCTAAGATGTAAAATCAATCGCACTCTATATATTTGGTTTTCAATAAATATTTATGTGGTAGATCCAATTTAGGAATGACGAACGTCTATTTTACGAATTTGGAAAAAAAAAATTGGTTTGAGTTTCAAATAATAATAATAATAATAATAAGTTGATGACACGGAGGTATCGCAATAAAACTCTGAAATGAGGCGTTGAGCCCAAAGCGACGGTGGTGCTGATCCCAAAGATAATGACTAAGGAACAACGACGGAGGACCAAACATGTCTCTACACATTCTTGTCGGCTTCGTAAGTGGTCAATGGATCATTTGACCTAACCATCAAGAAGCCTTTAATTTTGCATGCATCTCTCTCTCTCTCTCTCTCTCTCTCTCTCTCTCTCTCTTCCGTTTCAACCCTCTTCTTTTTCCATCGCTTACGCACATAATTCCATGCCTCTTTCTTCGTATCCTTTGAATAAGATAAGTTACACATCTCAAAGAACATACGCTATGTGCACGAGGGCATGCGTTTAAAATTTGATAAGATCAAGTTCAAGATTGAGAATCTTGATTTGTGATCGGCTCTTGGGGGCAGTCGAAAAGGCACCGTGTAGGTATAAAAACGTTAATATTTTCCCCCCTTGAATTGTTTGATCTTCTAAGGAATTGTCTATCTGTTTTGCATCTAAGCAGAAAAGAACTAAATTAACCGGAAGAAGGCAAAGACATTTGCCATACACATAGCATTTTCACGAGGGAGAGATGTGTATATATATATATATATATATTAAGAGATAATCAAAGACACTACTATCTAGCAAAATGTTTTTTTTTCTTTTAAACTAATTTTCTTGGTTGCGAGTTTCGGGATCGATCAGTCTTGGCGAGGACGGGCCATCCAGAGGGAGCTGAGGGCTTGGAGGCGGTGGAAGTAATCAGCAATGGCTAGAAGGCTCCGTGCCGCCTGGTGGGTCGTCAACAGCTGGTGCAGCCGGTGTACGGTCTGGTGCCTAAGGTGATCGGCCTGCAAGGTAATTCAATTAACACGTTTTCATTTTTACATAATCTTTGAATTATAAAAGTGATGATAAGAAAGATAACATGATAATTAATAGGAAGAAATTGCAAAAAACCACCATGCACACATGTTTGTTGATTTATGTCTTCTAAGACTAAGACTAATCAACCCACATGAATGGACCGACCATTCTTGGTCTTGAGAGAATAGTATAGTATCACTACTATATATATGAAATACTAAATAATGATTGCGACATATATAAGCATCCCTAATATTAAATACTATAAACCAAATGAATTACTCAAGATTTCAAAACTTGTGTAATTTCAAATTCACGGTCGTTAATTAATCACTAATGTCTTTGACTACAACTCGAAGTTGAAACAAAAAATGAGAATATTTCTACAAGCACAACAAATTTTCAAAAGGTAGAACCGTGAATTCCATATATTGGTCCCACGCCATGCTCGAGGGTTTCCTTTCACGTAATAGAGCAAAATAAAATACATAACATATACACTACGCGTATGTATACGGTATCAAAGCGCTTATGTACAATAGTTATATGTATAAATACTCAACCCAAAATCAAGAAAACAAAAAAGAAAAAGGTTGAATTGAGAGTAAGAAAAGGACGTGTCTTTTGGACACGGCAAAGTCCGACGGTTACGGCCATGACATCATAGAACGATATGGGCTCAATGTAAATAATGTTTTCATTTGATGTAGATGTAAGTATATGTATATGTGTATCACATATATACGTGTTTGTGGGCCATGATCCATTTTCATGCATATTGCATTTGCCACGTGCGTTTCAAGATGTGTGGTGAATCCATATATACACACACACTGAATTTTGAAAAAATCGGTAATAAAAATTTAGAAGAGCATACCATGTAAAAGTCAACTTCCTCAATTGAAACAAAAGGGATGACCTAAAAATATACATAGAGTACAAATGTTAAAATGTCATTACGTTTTTATAATCATACTATTTCCCGTATATATTTCAAAGTTCTTAGATTTTTCAACACAAACGTGGATCTATTTTTCCATATTTCATCTAAACATTAAATCTAAAAAATTTCAATGTGTATGTTATAGACATAGAAACCCATTATTTGAAATTATCATTTGCATAACAAAAAAAACTTTATATATATGTATATATATATTCCCCCTTATGTATACGTTATATATTATATATAATATCCTTATGCCGGACCTTACATGTTTCCATATGTTCGTGTACTTGTATCTTTAGTATACACGTATATATATGTGTGTGTGTGTGTGTTACACCAAAACATATACACATGTATATATGTACACACACACCTACCAAAAATATATAAATCTACATGCATAGATATCAAAGGCCTGTTGCAACAACCAAATATATCATATAGTGTGTTTAATAAAGGAGTAGTTCAAGAATCGGTTAGGTTTTACTAGTCCAAAGCAGGACCACTGCCCCCGGGGCCCACGTGTATCATGTGTATATATACACACATATACAAAATGAGCTAGTTGGCTTGATTTTTAAATCATATAAATTCAGTATTGTTTTCATGTGAAAGTAGAATATAATGTTCAAAATAATATCTTAATTTTTATTGTATGCAAAAATTTTTTTTTATCTCATTCTCATAATCCGTCAAACAAAATAAAGAAAACTAAACTTTTATGGAGAAATCTAATTTATTATACACTTTTAATAAGGGTAAAATAATGAAATATAATTGGATCTCTAGAATTTATTCCTATTATTAGATGCAAACAAATTGTATCACCTATATTTGTTTTCCCCGTGTATGGAACTAAACTAACCATGGTTTCCAATATAGCATCGAATCTTCTAGCTAGTCTCATAAAATATGGTATGAAATTCTATGTCCATATATATATATATATGTATATATAGTTCGATTCAGAGATTCTCAAGAATGCAAACAATACACCAGAAGATACACACACATATATGCATATATATATATATATCGAGAGAGTATAAAGATGTACGTACGCACCTGGAGAACGAAGTTCTCGAGGGCGGAGAGCTTGTTGAGGGCGAGAGACATTTGGGAAATGTAGCTCGGGGTAGGAGGAGGAGGAGGAAACGCCGCGGCCGTGGCCGTAGCCTCGGCCGCGACCGCGGAGGCC